CATAATGTATAATTTTTTGCAGTGTTTTCCCATTTTCAGTTCAAAACAACAAACATGGATCTTTGAGACTTTGCTTTTAATCATGTTTATGAAAACTTGTATGCTGAGTAATAACGTACCTGAAACCACTCGTAATTCAGGCATTCCAATGCTGATGGTCTCCTCCTGACAGGAATAAAACCAACAATTATTTTTATCCTCCACAGGTCAGCTGAGATCAGATAGGAATATACGACACATAATCTTACTCTGAGTCTGGCTGTAAAACTCTGTGGAGGAAATCCTGGGCTTGTTCGCTCAAGCTGGTGATCTCCGGGAGGTCCCAGTACAGGACCCCTTCGGCCACCTTCAGCAGCGTGGCTCGGTCATTTTCCCCAAAAAAGGGGCAGTGTCCTGTCAGACTACACAAACAAAACCACACATCACAAAAACAGCGACAGCTATGTGGTGAAGAATGAACAATCATCTATTAAATGTATCTAAAACCTTTATCTTTATTGCATTTTGGTTGTGATAAACTCAATGAAGAAAAGTTTTTAGTTCATCAAACTCACAGGTACAACCTTAGAAAGAAATAGGTCTAAGTTAATTACAAAATATTTGTGACATTTTGTAGTGTTGCTGCCTCACAGCTTCAGGGTTCCAGGTTCGATCCTAAGTTTCCATGTGGGTTTCCTCTGGATTCTCTAGTTTCCTTCCACCTCCCAAAAAATATGCCGGTTGGTGGATAGGTGACTCTAAATTCCCCCTAAGTGTAAATGTGTGTGTGCGTAGTGCCCTGTGATGGACTGGTGCCATTTCCAGGGAGAATTCCTGCCTCGTACACAGCGTTCCCGGGATAGACTCCGCACCCACCCTGACCAGGATAAGCAGTTACTGAAGATGAATGAATAATTGATAAAGACGGAGTTCTTGATAACTTTTTAGTCAAGCACTTTTAGCCATAACATACTCAACTTACATTTGATTCTGGCTAATTTTTTTTTTATTTGTAGGTTTAACAGGTTTACCTTTAAAAAAGCATAGTTTAGGTCATTAAGATTTTTAATCATTAGTATTTAAAGCTGCCTGATAATAAGTCCTTAAATACAAAAGGTTAGGCATTTGTGGAGGTACTTTATTATTTATTTTCTTTATATACTATTCATTTTTGTTTTCTGCATCAACAGAAATTTCAGATGTTCAAAAACCTTTGACTAGCAGTCTATGTAAAAGTTATACAGCATGTTAGAACAATAGTGAAGTAACAGAATGATCATAAATTTGAAGAATGGACATTTATATATATATGTTAGTTTACTGGTCTTACCATAGATAAGCAACAACACCAACAGACCTGAAATAAAAAAACAGAATTACACAATCAAAAGGGTTATTTACTAATACAACCAACTCTGATGCTATACTTGGTAACACTGTCTATGAAGCCCATGCTCATAATGAATTACAGCCCCATTTATAATTATTTATAAACAAGTATTACTGTTCTATAAATACATTGATAAAGACACATAAAGACCTATACTTCATTGTAATAACAGTTATAGTTACGTTTATATTATTGTTATAATTACTTATAAGTGATGCACTTGCTTTTTCAATGCCCATGCTCATAAAGGTTCAGACTTATGGTTCTATTAATGTATTTATAAAAACGCAGCATCATAAATAATTAATATAATAAATCAGTGTATAATGCATTATGAGCATGGGCATTGAAAAAGCAAGTGCATCACTTATAAGTAATTATAACAATAACATAAATGTAACTATAACTGTTATTATAATGATGTATAGGTCTTGAAGTGTCTTTATAAATGTATTTATAGAACAGTAATACTTGCTTATAAATAATTATAAAAGGTGCTATAAGTCATTATGAGCATGGGATTCATAGACAGTGTTACCCAATACTTACTGCTGCTATACTACAAAATAGTTTCCAGTGTACAGCCCATGTTCTGTGTATTTATTGCTCTGTTATGTGTATTTATTATCCTGTGTATTTATTGTCTTGTGTATCTATGGTTGTGTTATGTGTAATTATTGTCCTGCACTCATCTCACACTGTTGTGTATTGTACTTTATGTTGTCTTGTGTACTGTTCTGTGTTGCACCATGGTCCTGGAGAAACGAGATTTCATTCTTATGTATACAAGCTATATAGAGGAATGACAATAAAAACCCACTTGACTTGACTCAAATCACTAATTATATTTTGTCAGATTACATTTCTCAAACAAAACACCCTCTTGTATTCAATGAGAGTCCAAAATGAACCTACTGTAAGCACAATAATATCGTAAAATAGGAATTATCACAGCACCAGATATCAGTTGCTGTCATCACTGGTTCCTGGTGAACGATTTCCGGTGCCACAAATTCAGGAGTCCCAAAGACACTGTACTGATGCCTGGAAGGGTCGATCTCCTGACAGAAGCCAAAGTCACAGATTTTTAAGTCCTCTCCATCCGGGGAAACCATCAGGATGTTGTCTGTCTGCAGGATAAAAACAGAATTTTATCAGCAATCAGTAAATAAGTTGCAGTGGCCCTGACTCACATTCAAACCTTCACTTACTTTAATATCGAGATGTAAGATGTTCATGCTGTGAATATATCCAACCCCTTCCAGAATTTGCTGAATGTAAACCCGGACCTAATGCGAGACACACACACACACACATACACACACACTGAACACAGTGTACTTTCAATCAGCAGGAAATGACCGAGAGCTTTATTTAAACATATGTATAATGCGTATAATGTTTATTACCGCTCCTTCACTGACTGATCCTTTTAATAACAAGTGTTCCAGTAATCCCTGAGATGAGCATCTGTGAAAACAATCACCCCATTAAAGTCAATAACTGAATTATAGCACGCTTAAATTATTTTTCCTTGGCAGCATATTTCCTCTTGATAAATTGTGGACATTTTTTTTTATTTGTAACAAGTGAAATAAGAAAGTAAGAAGTAAGATAAAGAAAGTAAGAAAAATGTTTTGACACAGGGTCCAAAAAGGACATAGATATCAATAATACAGTGTAATGACTGATAGTCAATCTCGAATGTTCATAGTAAATCTATAATTTTTTCTTATAGTAGTTCAGTAGCGTTATTAACAGCTCATTAAGTCACAATGTTAAGTTCTTATAGAAGCAAACTTGACTATGGGTTCATTGGCATTGCAATAACCAGCAGTAGATATTTACTATTAAAACTATTACATATATTACCTTTTTTTTCTCAATCAGCAGCACACAGTTTACATGTAATTCTTTAGGAAGTTGGCCCAAAAGTTAAAAAAGTTAAACTTTTAAAAAAGTGCTTTTTTTTAACCTCCCAAACAATCAGCCTACAACAAAAGTTGAATCTTGTTAGTGATGTAACAAATGATTAACTAATGATCAATTAATGATGTAACTAATGATTACTACTGATTGATTTACTACTAATGATTAGGTTTCATTTAGACTAATGACCAAATGCTGATAATGGTTAATTAACCACTTATTAAAAGCATAATAAATTGTTCATATGTAACCTCTAATGCGAAGTGTTGGCCAGAACTATGTTAGCTTTCCATCTTTAATTAAAAAAAAAAAAGTTGTAGATGTTTTGGTATAACTAATGCAGTGCAGTGAAATATCTGGATGAGAGGATGTTTTGGTGATGCCTACATCTCGGTGATGAGGACGAGCGTGCGCCGTGTGCTGAAGAAGTCGAGCAGGCAGGCCACCCTGCAGTGTGCCAGCCGGGACAGCAGGTCTCTCTCCTGGAAGGCTCGGGTGCGAGTGCTGCTCTTCAGCGGGATGAACTTAGCAGCGAAAACCTCCGCACTTGCCCTGTGTACGACCCGTTTCACCACCCCAAACGTGCCTCTGTATATAAACAAACAAAAAACATTCAAATCACATTTACATAGAGACAATCTAGCTAATCCACTGCACTGTTGAATTCTGGATTCTGATTGGCCAGAAAGTGTTGATTAATTTTCTATAACAGAATGTTTATATTAATGAGCTCGTTCAAAGCTTTATCGTTTTTATAATAGCAGCTCATTCACTGGACTTGTATGAAGCACTCTCCATGTTAAATGGATTAAAATACTCAATGATATGGCGAAAGGCTTGTAAGGTTTACGGAAGGAGTCTCCAGTGTCAGAGCTTTGTAACAGTCAGAGGTAAAGCTGTAACTTTATATTTTCTGACAGCTTCAGGACAGAGGAGTTTACGCTTTTTTGTGGTTTCTCAGTAACATAAGAAGCTGCGTTTTTTTCTTCAAGAGAGAGGAAAATGAGAGGCTGGTGAGGGAACGACTGTTTGTAGCTGATATGTGAGAACGTAAGTGAGAACAGGAACTAACCTGTTTCGTGGACATTCCACAACATTAAATGTAACTATAAATGGATAAAAAGTATGATGTATCATTCTGCAATAGATACAAATTTTATCTGCTTTGATATAAATGGATTAAAACATAGGGATGTGCTGGTACAGGAAAATAATCATCTTTGGAGTGGTAATAGCTCTCCTTTGATATTTTTATTATTATAACAGAAATAATATTCCTCACATGCCATCTGGAGTTAAACATATTAATTAATTAACAGAAAGTGTGTGAAGGTTTCCTGAGTCGACGTTACCTGCCAATCTCCTCATGGATATCATAAACAGCGTGGAGTTTCCTCCTTCTGCCCACCTCCAACCCTCTGTCCTCCTCTTCCTCCTCCTCCTCTTCCTCAAACTCCTCTGGACCTGAGAAAGGTATTGGCGTGTGTACACTGTTAAAATTTACTGTAGATTTTACAGTAATTTACTAGCAACCTGGGTTGCCAATAAAGTATTGTAAAATTTACAGTAAACAACTGTAAAATACATTTACAGTAAAGTACTGTAATATCATACATAGTATAAAATAACACATAACCCAGTATGTTGATGCAGGATAGAGCTGAGCTGAAGGGTCTTGCTCAAGGAGCCAATCAAGGCAGTTTGGTGGTGCTGGGATTTGAACACATGACCTTCTTATCTGCAACTCAAAGCCATAACCACTAAGCTACCATAGCTAGCACAACTAGCTTACACTGCAATCTTTTAGTGGTGTTAATGAAGCGCTAGAAGTAGCTGAATCAATGCAAGCTAGTTGCGGTGGTGTTGTGATGTAGTTGTGGTGGCTCAATGGTTAAGGCTTTGAGTCACAGCTCAGAAGGTTGTGTGTTCAAATCCCTGTACTGCCAAGCTACTATGGTTGGGTAAAACCTGTAACCTTCAACTCAGGTATATCCTGCACTAGCCAAATGAGCAAGTGTGCTGGGTGTGTCATGTGTCATTTTATACAACATTAAGATTTTACTGTAAATATATTTTACAGTTGTTTACTGTAAATTTTACAGTACTTTACTGGCAATTTGGATTTACGGCAATTTATTACAGTAGGAGTACAAATTTAAGAGTCACTGTTTTCCTGTATGTATACAGCATCAGCTGAATGATTATGATGAGCAAAGTTTCTAGTAGGAGATTTCTGCCAGTTCCTGTTCTCTTTATTTGTGAGTCAAACAAGCATGTTAACTGAGGCTTTTGCCTTTTGTCTGTGATGGCTCTAGGTTCCTCCGGCCGATTCTTTGAATTGGTGGTCATTGCTCATGATCATCAATACCCTAGGCATAGACTTTTCTTTTTCTCTAAGATAATGAAGTGTGGTATAGTTATGCTGACTGGATTAGGGCTGGTGAAACTCCAGAATCTGGGGCGGGTTCCTATAACTGCGTACTTCCTTTGCATACTTTGTTTAAGGTTGTCTAAGGACTACCCCTTAAAAGGTATATAAAACTACAATGTACAGATCCCTTGTTAAGACTTGATGACTGCAGCATTAAACAGCACGTTCTCAATAAACAATCCTGCTGAAGATATACCAGGGTCTTGTGATCTTCACTTCTGAGCTTCCAACACAAGTATACGTATTGGATGAATTAACAGTTCTAGCATTGTAAAGGAACCTTTTCTGTTGTAGTGTTCTACATAGTGACTTTAAGGGTCCTGTTAGAGGGAACCCTTGAAAGTGCTAGATCTAACCTTAATTTCTATTTATGTATACAAATTAGCAATAACATCCTGCTGGGATTCGACTGTAGATGAAGTCACTTCAGCAGGTTTGCCAAATTTGTGGTTTTTAGCTTTGGATCTAGGTTGCATGTGGAAAAAGCAAGTCCACAGGTGTTTTTTGGGGGGGCTGGTTTAAAAATATTCTGTGGCAACGAACATTGTGTTTTAAACTAAATAATCAAAACAAATTTCAACAAATGGCAAACAAAGGGAAAATGTAAGTGCAGAAACTGTCACTCCACTGTTATAGTGGAACGTCTACAGATGTTATAGTGATTCAGGTCAGAAAGTTTTTTTGGGTAGGTAGGCTAGCTACATTATCACGTTGTGAGAGAGGGTTCGAACAGAGTACCAGGGCTAGTGATCATTCCTTCTGTGTGTTTTCTGTGCATCATCAGTTGTAAGAATGATTATGGAGTGGGTAATGTCCATACCAGGCACTGATAAAAAGGATTTCTGTTGACATCACAACACATGCACAACCCAGTGACCTTTTTTTCCACGCAAAAGCTGAGAGACATAAGAAAAAGGTGTCTCCTTCTTCCAATGATGAACTTTTAAGCTAATTTCAGGTCTTTTTAGATGTAGTTGGGCTGGACATGGACAATTACCAATTACCTCTTGCCTCTGTATGATACATTACCTGTATCCATGGTGAGGTGGGCTTGGCAGGAAGTGTGGCCTGAGCTGTTCATGGCTCTACAAGTGTAAGTGCCGCAATCAGAAATGTGAACGCTCGGTAAAGTGAGAGAGAAGCGAGCACCACTCTGCTTCACTTCCATGTGTTCACCAGAGACGAGCTCAACACCGTCCTATAGTAACAAACAAAGAGGATTATGGGACTTCAATTTCACCAACCGTTTAAAGATTCTCACATTCCTTAGTAGTAGTAATTACATGTTCAATAAGAAAATAGAGACTTTAAAGTGTTAAGAAGTCTTCTCCATCCTCTAATGAGTCATCATAATCCATGAACGCCTAGATGAGTTAGTTTTATTGCATATAATGAGCTCTATACCTTGATGCTGTCCTCTAAACCAACCACTCGTGTCCTTGATTTGATTTAACTTTTAAAGTACTTTTGGAATTATTATTATCAGTGAGTGGGAGACTTTACCAAGTTCTTTACCACTTCCCTCAAGTTTTTAAAGAAAGTATCCGATCTGTAATGTGCCTTTTCTATCTATTTTAGAGAACATTATCACCAAAAAACTTTGTTCTTTTCTAAGTAGGAATAACAAACATGAGGTATTTCAGTCTGGGTTGCAGAAACATCATAGGACAGATTCAGCGCTGGCTAAAGTGGTCAATGACGTACCAGTTTGCTTAGAGCCTTAAAAAGTGCAAGATGGTGTCCCACAAGGTTCTGTATCAAGCCCCTATTTTTTTCCTTTTTTACTCAGCTGCTTGGACATGAAGTTCATAAAAAAAGAAGAATGGAAAATAGAAAACTGTGTCAAATGGAAGACTGGGTAAAAATTGAAAAGATACTTCCTTTTCCTTCATTTTAATTAAACATAATACCAGTGCAGTCTGGTCTCTGCTTAATAAATCTAGACTCTGCTTGCAGTAAGGTGAATTTCACCATAGAGCTTGATGGCGATTTTTGTCCTATAAGACTCTCGTCTTTATATCATTGTAGAAATCGCAAATTCTGGAACAAATTACTCAAAATGAAGCAGGTCATATTTATGGACCAGTATCTGTCTCGTGTGTAACGTGTGTGTGATTACTCGAATACCTTGAACCAGTTGACCTCTGGGATCGGCTGCCCGGTAATAACTGCAGAAAAGGTTGCAGGTTGTCCAGGCCGTACACACAGATCCTCCATGTCCACCTGCACCACTGGAGGTTCTGCAAAAATGCATATTAGTGACTTACATTAAGCACAGGTGCTGGAACTGTTAGGCTGAAGTTTTGCAGTTTAAACACTTGGATAAAACAACGAGGAGTGTCGTTCTTTTGCGTCTTCAGCCAGGAAGAGGCTATGACAAGCAGCGAGGGAAGAAACACTACAAATTTGGAAACATACATAGAGACAACATGCATCAACACTGACACCTGAAGGCCCCACCAAAACATCTTTTCCAATGTTCCTTTCCAGATTTTCCAAAAAGAACTCAATAGATTCCTCCAAAAATTGTGTTCACCTGTGCATTTTTCATCCTCTGCACTTGACACACGTGTCTCCTCTTGCTCTTCCTCTGGGATGTCCAATTGTTCCTTGTCTACTTCCTGTGTAGCTTGAGCCTCACTGGTACTACGTACAGATCTGCAGAACATGTGTGCCATGATTTCATGTGACTTGCGAATTGGGATTGAAATGTTCTAACTTTGGATACCAGATGTGTTGCAAGATGTGCAAGACTTGGACTTACTGGTTGGAAGGTCCAGACTGAAAGAACATCTGGAAGAAGTTCTTCACCAAAGCACTGGACCAACCTTCTGAATCTGCTGCTGTACCCAAGAAAGTCACAGTCAGGATCTCTCAGCAGTAAGAGTCCTATTTGTTCTTTTTTGTTCTGTTACATTTTAGCATAAATATCTATCACAAACCAGTGATGTGTCTGCAGATACATATTCCATAATTATTCTTCAGTTCTTGTAACATTTTAAGCATATGTAGATACAAATAAAAATATTTGAGAATGCATTAAAAATTATTTCCATTAGGTACAGTAGCTTCATAGCTCCAAGGCTAAGCTAAAAATGCAAACATGGGGCAACAAACATGTCTCTACTGATTAAATTTTTGCCAAACTGTTTTTAATAAACATTCTTATTTGCATGTTTATTGTCAGGTAAGACTTACCTTTATAACTCCAGGACTCTCAGAGTCCACCATGATTGTGCTTTTTCTTTGTAAAACATATATATATATAGACAGAGCACATGGGCAGTGTGTGCCCAAAGGCAGCAGAAGAAATGACACTTTAACAGACCGGCCACAACACTTGGGGTCCAAGCACATAACCAGCTTTGAAAATGAAGGAAGTTGCAAGTTAGCCGGGCAAGCGCTGACCAGAAGGTAATGGGTTCATGGGAAAGAGACGGAGAGAGAGCAAGCAAGAGAAAGAAAGAGACAGAAGAGAGGTTTACATGCAATGTGTATGGGCGTCTCTCTGTATTTGTCAGGACACTTACATGAGGATGGCTCTGATTGGATCTTTAATCTCCTGCTCTGGGACTAAAAAAGGGATTGGGATGGAGAGAATGGAGTTAAATAAAGAGAAGTGTGGATGAACATGGTCAACAGGTTTCCTAAAGCCACTAATAACCCACTTGTATGGTATGAGTGACTTTCGATAGTGAAGATAGTGAAGCTTTTGAGCGGAATGTTTCAATCATGAATTTTGTACCAGATAGATGTGTTTGAAAGGCATGCAAGTATCTCAAACTATAAACCAAGCTTTATACTGTAATATAAATCATAATAGTGAAACTTTAATGTACTGAGATGTGTCTGATGAAAGAGATGGTATTATGATCTTGAATGACAGTTTGGTTCACACAACCACAGGCAAAATCATATAAGGAAAAATCTTTTACCATAATGGTTAGCTTTGAGATAGAAGACATTGTTCATTTATAGAGAATATATGCACTGGATCAAAGTACCCCTTTACCATTTTTTAAAATTAAAAAAGGATTACATGCAAATACAAATGCCCTACTGTCGGGAAATCGCGAGTTTCCAACAATGATTCCAACGATGCCACAGATAGATTTGTTGGTGTGCAGGGAACCAGGAATTTTCGTTAGCATCTGACTCCCCCCTCCCGGACAGGCTAACTACCAGGCTGTAAGGCTGCAGGAATCGAGTCCGATTTTTGTATTGACTTGGATTTGTCTTGGTCTTGGGTATTGGTTTTGCTAAATATGGTCTTGTTCTTGACTGAGAGTTTGTAAAAATATGCACAAAGTTTGACAAGAAGTAATTCTAGAAAACATAACCTAA